CAAAGAACTAAGCAAGGCTTCCCTGTGCAGTGCTCCTTTCCCAGCATGGGTTAAGTGCCTTCTGAAATGGGAAGACGCTCCTTTCTATGATCAGCCCAGACAGACAGATTAGGTTACTGCCTGCCTTGGGGTAAAAGGAAGTGAAAGGGGACAGAAGGTGGTCACAAAGAGAAACTGTTCTGAGGCCTGTTTCTGTAGCCAGAAGTGCCCCCAAATCATTCTAGTCACTTAGGAAATAGCACAGACTGAGAGTGAGGAGCCAGGAACTGTGGATGAAAAGTGAGAACCATCTATCACAGCTGCCTAGGCTCACCACTGCACATGTGCTGCACCACAGCAACCTCGAGGGACAGGGCACAACCACTGCTGCAGTGCTCACGGTGAGCCGCCAGGGTGGGGCACACACAGATTTCAGTGAACAAGTCATTTGTCTTAGGAAAACATTTTTATACTTTTATACTGGTCTTATTACTAGTCTATTATTAATCTGCCTTTTGATAAACGTGTGTAGGTCTTTTTCATACAGAAATCAGTTGATGGCTGGTGGGTTTAATTTCTCCCTCAGCCAGTCATTTTTTAATAGGTGTTACATCTGGAGGCAGCTTTAACTTGAGAGTCTTTTATTACTGACATTAGCTATCACTGAGACTTAGGCAAGCACGGTGGCACATGCCCAGAATCCCAGCCATCTAGGTGGCGAGGTGGGACAATTGGAAGCACCAGCCCAGCATAGGGCTCACTGACTTCATGAGGCCCTGAGTCTAAATAAAACATGAAAAAAGGGACAGGGATGTAGCTCAGTGTGAGTTTGTGTTTGATTCTCAAGTGTGTGTTTGATTCTCAGTGTGTGTTTCTCAGCACCAGAACGGAAGGGATGATTTTGACATGAATTATGGACATATTTGCAAATTTAATGTAACCTACCTTTGTCTCTACACTAATTATTACAGACAGGTGTTATCATTTTAGATGCTCTTCAACCTCAGTGCTAATATTTGGACCCCTCTGAGAAGAGCTGTCCTGTCACCGCAGTTCAAAAAGAGTTCAGTAATCAGATGCCATGGGACACCAGAAGAACTCAAGCGTGCTAAACCTTTATAATAGAGGTCATTGAGAAATGCAGTGTTAAACTTCTTACAAGGGAGGCTATCAGTGCTGCATGCTCAGAAATAAAGCAGAGTTCTACAGTTGTCTGTGAAGTTGTCTTGGGCTTGGCAAAGTTCAAGAAAACTATGTAAGAGACCTGGTCACAAAATAAAATAAAATGAAGAAAATGAAAAACCAGAAATTCTCACAGAATGCCGAGGAAAAGACCAAAAGAAATCAAGATACATAATGAGAGGTATAGTGGTCTACTTAGCAGATACAATCTATGCATAATAAAAATATCGCATTGGGCCGCGGATATAGCTCAATGGCAAAGTGCCTGCCTGGCAAGCACAGGTCATGAGTTCAATTCCTGATATTAAAAAAAAAGAAAAAGAAAAAGCCCTACAACAGAGGACAAAGCAAGTGAAAGTGAAATAATAATTGAGGAATGAACTAAAGAAAACTTTCCAGGGTTGAAGCACAAAGTGGGCCAGCAATGGAAAAATGCACATTTACTAAGAAGAAAGCAGCACACCTAGACATATCTTGGTTACCTTTGCTAATTTCAAGGGTAAAAATAAAATCTTGCAAGAGGGAAAAAGCAGACTAATCTTAAGTTTTTCTCTTGCAATTTTCCAATGCCAGAAGACAATGGAACAATACCCACAGAGAGTGAAAATAATTTAGAATCAAGAATTATGTACTCTGCAAGTTCAGAAGTATTTCAGTATAAAGGGAACTGGGACATTGTCAGACACTGAGAGGTTAAACACATATATCAACCAAGAATTTTCTCTGAAAAATTTGCTGAATCATTTACTACCGCCAACAGAAAAATTAAAGAGAAGGGAGACAATCATGTGAAATATTTGATGGTGATAATTAAAACTAGCTAAGAAGCATAACGTCTAAAATTGCTACACATAAGGTAAAAACCTAAATGCAACAAACTTATAAGCTAGATCTAAAATTTTGTCAATAAGTTTTAGGCTGTGAGTGCATGCAAATATATTCAAATATTGAATAGGTAGTTTTATGATGGCCATATAGTATATAAAGATACATGTTGTTAAATCCAACGCATGTAAGACAAAAAAGTGCTTGTGCTTTGTTGGTGCAGACAAGCACAGTGAAGACACTCTAAATGGTAATCTGACAAAATTATAATACTGTACGGTTTATTTCTTAAAAAAAAAAAAAAGAACAAGCAGAGAGTGGCGGCACACAACTGTAATCCCAGCACACGGGGTGGGCTGGGGGTATGAGGCAGGAAGGTCACTGAGTCTGAGATCAGCCTAGACTACAAAGTGAGCTCCAGGCCAGCCTGAACTGCATATGAGACTCTTTGTCTCAAAAAGACAAAAACCAAAACAAAACACACCAAAACTAGTAGGTCAGACTGACTACAGATTTTTCTCTTGCCCATCTACAATGGAACAATATCTTCTGGCATTCAGCAAGTTCATCCTGTTAACAATAATAGAAGAAAATTCCCAAAGCACTAGTTGGAGAGGACTGGATGTATCTGAAATAATAAACTGGGAAAACCAGTATTCACCACATCAGACAGGAGTTCAACTTGTCATGGAATTGCAGACAAAAATAGAACATACACGCTCCAGGATTCTGAAACTGAAAAGAATGGAAAACAACAACAACAAAAAATAGCAAAGAGACCCAAGAACAAAAACAAGGAAGCATTAAAAGTAATATAAAAGGGCCAGGGGTTTAGCTCAGTGGCACAAGCGTCTGCCTGGAAAGTGGAAGGTTGTGAGTTTGATCCCCAGTACCAAAAATAAAATAAAATAAAATAATACAAGTATAAAAGAGATTGACAAGGTACACTCATAAACTGGGGGAATAGGGATATAGCTCAGCGGCACAGCACCTGCCTGGCAAGTGCAAGGTTGTGAGTTTGGATTCCTGGTACAAAACAAACAAACAAATATAACAAAAAAACCAACCATAAACTGGTCAAATTCACAATTAATAAGACCCAAACTGAATAAAAGATAATCAAATTCTGATTTGAGGTATATTGTATTTTTAAAAAGTTAAAAGGGTTTTCAGAGAATAGAAACTCTTTAGGTAAGAGAAATGAAGGGCAACAGTTTCATTAGGTACAAATAAGGATTATTACAAGATAATTCACATTTAAGAGATTTTATGTGGCATTCATATGTGATATTACGGTTGAGACTTGATGTGGATAGTAGTTTTACAGTTGAAATTCACATAAATATTTTAAAACATTTAAAATTAATGCATTGCCAGTCATGGTGGCGCACATCTGTGATCCTAGCCCCCGAGAGGCTGAGGCAAGAAGATCACACAAGCTCAAGACCAGACTGGGCTACAGTGAGTACAAGGTCAATGTGAACTGCATAGCAAAACCTTGTCTCAATGATCAAAAAGACATTTAAAAATTAAATTAGTACATTTTATGTCCTTAAAATTCATATAGTAGTAACTCTCCAATTAGAGACTACATGTAGGAAAAAAAAAGGACAAGTGCTGTCAGTTTGCCATGACTTGGTTACTACTTGTTTTGGGGGCATAAAGGGCTTTTCTGTCATGTGTTTTGTTTCTCGCTATGTTGCCCAGGATGGCCCTGACCTCTCTGTCTAACCACGCTGGCCTAGAACTCACAATCCTCCTGCCTCAGCCTCCTGAGTGTGGGGATTACAACCAGCTCACCCAGTTGTTTCTAGGTCTCACATTAATTGGGACGGAGCCCACCACCCTGTCCTGTCTGGCTGTCAGGTGTTGAGACTGGTTCTTACTGGTGCTTATTGGAGAGAAAAGGTCCCGAAGAGGCTTTGTTTTCTGATGTCTACTTCTGGGCCTCAAGTGCCCCAACATTATTCTAGTCACTTAACAGTTTTAGTAGAATGGACCAAACCCTGGATAAAAACCAAAAAAACCCAACACCATATCATAGCACCTTGTGCTAAAAATCAAGATATAACCAGTTAAAAAAAGGTACCCGTCAATGGACACATGAACCATCAGGACTGGCCTGCAGCTGGGCATGACTGCCTACCTGTCATCCCAGCTACCTGGGAGGCTGAGGAAAGAGGATGGAAAGTTCCAGACCGGCCTGGGCAACACAGTGAGATCTTGTCTCAAAAATAAAAATAGCCAGATGTGTGGCAAGTGCCTGTTATTTTAGCACTTGGAAATCTGAGGCAGGTAGACCACAGCAAGTTCAAGTGTGTAGCCAGCCTAGGCTACTGTGAGTTCAAGGCCACCCTGAACTGGGTAGCTAGACCTTGTCTCAAAAAATAAACAAACAAACAAACAAAAAACAACCAAGGACTAGGGCCATATCTCAGTGGTAGAGCACTTGTCTGGCATACATAAGGCCCTGGGTTCCATTCCCAGCACTGCAAACAACAACAGCAAAGACCTGTCTCAGATCTGATGCCCTCTACAAAACACTACCTGGTCTGGTCCCCAGTGACCCAGCGCTCTTCACTAGACACTCGGCTTCCGTGCTCTGAGCATCTTCTACCACACCCATGACTGGGCTCACACTACTAAAAAACTACCTCCAAGTCTGAAGGATCTCTGACCTCTGCCTCCAGGACCTCTTCACACATAAACTTAATGAGGCAGTAAACCAACTACACAAACTGGGTATGGTGGTGCACATCTGTAATCCCAACACTTGGGAGAATGAGGCAGGAGGATCGCTGTGAGTTCAAGGCCAGGCTGGGCTACACAGTGACTTCCAGGCCAGCCTGAACTACATGGCGAGATCGTTTCTAAAAAATAAAACAAGGAGGCTGGGGATTTAGATCAGCGGCACAAGTGCCTGCCTTGCAAGCAGGCAGTCATGGTTTGATCCCTGGTACCGATAAAAAAAAAAAAAAGAAACAAGACAAAAAGAAACCGTGCACTAGACATACCTCTCCCATCTGCTGTTCAATAATCTGATGCGCAATTTCTTCTATGGTGGCCATGATTTACCAGTCCCCACGGCCTGCCAACAATAAAAAGATGCTTTTCACCATGATGCACAAAAACACATTCCCTGAAGAATTTGTAACTACATGATCCTTAGGATTTGAATCAAAATATATAAGCACAATGTATTGAAGCATTCAGAAGTTTTTCAAATAATTAAAAGAAAAATCAGATAATTTGGAAGTGAACTGTAACTGCATAATGTTAATGAATGACATTACAAGCAACATATGAGATAAAATAATTAAATTTTGTCTTCTTGACTCTAAGACATAGAGAAAAACCAAAAATCAAAGCCAGAACACTGACCTTATATGCTCTCCATTTGGAAACAGTTTTGCAGTAAATTCAAATCAACACTAATATATGAGAAATTTGTCCCTCCAAAAGCCATTTAAAAAAAAAAGGTAGCCAGGTGTGGTGGCACACACTTGTCATCCCAAAACTTGGGAGGCTGACGCAGGAAGATCACTGAGTTTGAGACCAGTCTGGACTATAACTCCTTCCAGAAAAAAAAAAAAAAAAAAGACAAGAAAAAGTAAATCAATCAATAAGCTGTCCCTTCTTTAAGGTCTCAAAGTTGAAGAGAAATTTTAATGTACCTAACTATTGACCAATTTTTATAAAATTCTGATGAGTATGCTTTGTTAAATGATCAATTTGTTCACAGATTTCCTTTTATTGTAAAACACAACAACTCTGGTCTATAGGGTCTCACTATGTAGCCCAGGCTGGGCTACAACTCCTGACTTGTATGAATCAGTCCTCTTGTTCAGGCTTCTGTGTTTGTTTTTTGAGTCAGGGTCTTGCTATGTAATTTAGGCCGTTCTTGAACTCACAGTGATCCTCCTGCCTCAGCCTCCTAAGTGTTGGGATTGCAGGTATGTTCCACCACACTCAATGAGGCTTCAATATGTTTTAAAAGTAAAGTTGTTGGCTCTTGAATATTTGTTGTTTCGTACTTGTTTCTGGTATTGTTTTGATCTGAGACAGATCTCGCTATGTAGCTCAGGCTGGCCTTGAACTTGTGGTGATACCTCTACCCAAGCTTCCAGAGTGCTGGGATTACAGACATGCCCCATATTTGGCTAGTATTTTTCTTAACAGACATTTTCAGAGTATTCAAAACCTCAGTATTTAACTTGATTACTCCAAACTTGCTAGAGCCCCATCTGCCCGTACCATCCTGGGACTGGTGCCCACCAGTCAGGGTGACAATGGCAGACCTACCTGCTCCAGCCACCTCCACAACCCCGGCTTGCAGAGCCCCTTAAGTCCAGCAGTCTTCACCTCATCCTGTGTCTGCCTTCTTCATCTGAGCCTGACATCCAGGTTACAAACACAAAACCAAGCCATTTCTTCCTTCTACCACTGTGCTGCAAAACACATCTTCTGCTGTGACTTTCAAATACTTATCACATCCTATTCTGAAGCTTCTTCCTGGCCTAGAGCTTCTTTGAGGCCAACTCAAGAATTACTTTAAAATTTATGCATGCGCATCACAGATTCAAGAATACAAAGTAGAGTTTATAATCCTGTTTTCACCATTACCTTTTCCCTTCCTAAACTATCCATGAGTGTAACACGTGAACAAATGGAAAAATTCAAATATTGAATTCTGTCAATCTTGTTCATCTAGAAAAATATCCACTAAGTAAAAATATAACTTATCTAGATTTAAAAGCCTATCTAAAATAATTGTCTTACTAAAATTCTTACTAAAATGTCTGAAGGACAGCGGTATGAACTTGAAAAATTAAAAAATTATAAGGGGATGAAATCAATAAGCATAAAATGGGTATTTATCATTAAAGCCTCACATTATTTTTAAGAGTAGATTAAGCCAGGTGTGGTGGCACATGCCCATAATCTAGCACTGGAGAGGCTGAGGCAGGCAGACTATCCTTGATTTACAGGCCACCCTGGGCTACACAGTAAGCTCAAAGCCCGCCTGAACTATCTAGGAAGACATTGTCTTTAAAAACAAACACAGTTATGCAACAGATACACACACACACACACACACACACACACACACATCAGTCACTTTGTGACAGAAGCTTGAATTTTAACTTAAGCAAAACAAAAAAAAGAAGGAAAGAAAAGGAGGCCTGGAGGGGAGGCACCTAATCCCAGGAGAGTGGGAGCTCTGGGTAAGTGGAAAAAGCTCTCATGTCCTCTCAGGAAATCTCCGTCTCTGTTTTCAGCTTCTTTCCCTGTGGCTTATTTGCAGATTTGTAGTAAAATATCAAGAAAAGAAAACTAGTCTTCTTTACTGCAGGAGGGCCAGCAAGAGCCCAGCCCAGCCTGGCAACTTAAGTCCTACCGTGTGTGCACACACGCGCACACACCCAGAGGCCTGGGTCCAATCCCTAGTACAGAAGGGAAAAAACCACCAGGCAGCCCAAAGCGTCCTGTGCCTGCCTCAGCCTCCGAGGTCCCCGCCACCCTGGCACTTACTCGGAGCCCCATCTGCCCGTGAGAAAAGCATTGCGCACTCTTCCTCACTCACAGGGCCGCACCTGCGTAACCAGTGCCCGGGTTCTTCCCTAGCTCACCAACCATTTCCTAAAGCTCAGGAAAAGATTCTGAAAATGTGAGGATATGACTGTAACGAGAAAAAAATCTGAGGCCGGGGATTTAGCTCAGCCACATAAGCGCCTGCCTGACAAGTGTGAGGTCGTGAGTTCAATCCCCAGTACGGCAAAAAAAAAAAAAAAAAAAAAAAGAAAAGAAAAAAAAAAAGAAAAAGAAAAAGAAAAAAAATATCTGCCTTATGAAGCCTATGAGAACACAGGTTTTTAAAATTTACCAGTTGTGGCCACTTTGCTGTTACATGGTCTAGGACGTACTTCTTTTCCTACTTTTACTTGGCCAAAACTCACCCTGCAGAGCCTGTTTCTTTTCCAATCTTTAATAAAATTTTGCTAAATTTTATTTCCGATCTTCAGTAAAATTTTGATAAACAAATATTATCAGTTGTGCTAGGCATAGTGGCACACACTGTAAAGGAGGCTGAGGCAAGAGGATACCAAGTTTAAGCCACACTTAGGCAACTTAGGTTACCAAGCAAGATTCTGTCCGAAGAAGTAAAAATAAGAATAAAGGGATGTAACTCAGTGTGAAGGCTCTGGGTTCAATCTCCTGCACCAAGAAAGAAAGAAACCATTATCGACTGTACTCAGTTCTGTGAAGCACATTCGGAAGGAGTACAACAAAAACAGGACCCTGAGAAGAGGCGATGCGATCTGGAGGAAATCTGGTCCTCAGCACTGGAGGGCCATGGTCTCTGGTGTGGTGGGAGAAAAGCAGGTCAGTTTGGAAAGAATGAGTTTTGTCTTAGGAATCGGGTGCATCATCGGGAAGAGAGCTGCTGAGAAGTGAGGCTGCCCACTGCCTGCCTGCCTATACTGCCGCACAAAGGCCTCCACAGATGCCAGCTAGAAGCTGGCACCATGCTCTGGCCCTGCTCAGCCTCAAGCTGTGAGCCAAATCTACCTCTGCTCTGTTTCCTTCCTTCCTGGTAAACTGTCCTCTGCCTCTGCACACTTTCTGTGGGGAAGGGCACGGTGGCAGCACACTCTTGCATCCCTGGGGTGGCTACTGGGAAGTTGGGGGTGGGAAGGTCACCCGCCCCCCAGGCTGAGACCTGCCTGGGCAACACAGCAGAAGCCTACTCAGAACCGTAACACAAAACAAGACTAACCTGGTGGGGAGGTGTTGTTAAAATGTGTTAGGTACACAGGCCAGCACCACATGATAAATGTGATCCTGGAGCTGGGGATACAGCTCAGCAGCGCAGCGCTTGCCTGGCCAGCGCTAGGTCCTGACTTCCATTCCTAGTATCCCCCACCCCAAAATGTGATCATTATGTACTGCACGCATGTACCAACTAAAACAAATGCATGGTGGCACATACCTGTAATCCCAGCACGGGGCACACAGTAAGTTCAAGCAAGGCCAGGCTCAACTACATAGTCAGATTCTGTCTCAAAAATCCAAACAAACAAACCAAAACACAAGAACTATCCAGGCCAACTACAGCCATGACCTGTAATCTGAACATTGTGGGAGGCTGAGGCAAGAAGATGGCAAGTTCAAAGTCACAAGGAGAGTTTAGTAAGACTCTGTCTCAAAATTTGTTTTAAAAAACTATTAGTTTTTTGAGGTAGGGTCTTACTGGGTGGTCTAGGCTGGCCTTTAACTCACTATGTACCGAGCAAGGCTGGCCTCAAACTCACAGCAATCCTTCTGCTTCAGCCTCCTGAGTGCTGAGATTATAGGACTGCACTACCTTGTTAGGGGCACGTATTTTTAAAAGGACTGGGGAAATGCAAAAGATTTGAGTTTAATCGCCAAGACAGGGAAAAAAACAACCCTACTAGGTCTCAGATATTTTGTTATAGCAACAAAAAACAGATTATAAATCAGTTAGGATAAAAAAATATCTTAGAACTCGAAATTTCAATTCCGTTTTCACCACTTACTAAATGCATGTCAACGTTTTAAGCTGAGGCTATTTCTTCAGCAATAGATTTAAAACAGTCTACTGAAAATATTAGTACAACAATATAAGTGAAAATCTTAGTAGTCTCTTACAGGGGAAAAAAATCAGTTAGCTGCATGACACTCACTAAATGAACCCAAAGAGGAGAGCCCAGGATAGTGTTGGTTAACTCATGGCATGCATGTTGTTTTTAAGACAAAAGATATCAATGTATGGTGACACCCCATCTCAAAAAGATGTGTGTGGGGGGGGGAGGGGAAATCAAAGTAGGAATTGTTTTTTCTAAACTAAAACCTCAGTCTTCAGGTTTCACTGCAGTGCAGCATTTTGGGAATGCATATCTAAGTGGGTCCTAGGCCTTGGTCTGGGCACTCAGTCTCTAAAAGATTCACCATCACATGCCTAGGAAGACCTCCCACGAGGGAGTCAGTCACTGGAGGACAGGTATTCCTTCCAGCCTGAGGGAGAAAGCAGAGGGCAAAAGGATGCTGTCTTGCTGTTCTGGAGCAGCAACCCCCGAGGACTCAGTCCCGCCAGCCCTCCACTCCTCCATCCAACGATGCTTGTCCCTTCTCCACATCTCCTGCCGACAGACACAGAAGTGCACAGATGGAGGAGACGGTGCCATCCTTCCTCCACTCAGATTCTATGACTTCAGACCACTTTTGGACTCATCCTGGCTCTGTAAGACACATTCATCTTCTTTCCCACTGTCTACCTCCCCCAGTCTTGCCCCCAACTCAATGGAGCCTGCTGGCAGCCAAACCAATAGCATGCAGAATCTGTCCAGGGCCACCATCTCCGGATGGAGAAATTCATGTGTAGGTCACCACAGAATAGAAGAGGCAATCAGAAAATACCTGCACACCAGGGGCATCAAGACGAAGGATACTCCAGCAAAGATATTTCAGTTTTGTATGTATGAATGGTGTGTGTGTCCTCGGTCAAGATAAGGAGTCTATTGCTATGGTTCGCAGTAAACAAATTTGAAAGAACGATTGAAAACAATGATTTTTATTTTTGAAAACCAACTTTTCCTCACCAGAGAAACTCACATTCACTTTTAGTCACACTATGAGCCTCATTCTATCTATGCCAAGCTTTAACAGGTCCTTTAACCTGCAGCCAGTCCACGGACAGGAAGCTCTAGGATAAAATTTCAGCACCTGACTGTGTATGTTGGAAACCCTAGACTGGGGGCTTCTAAATCCTCCAAATGCCACTTTAAAAACACCCCCCCCCCACTGAAATCCTACCTGACCTCTGAGGCCTGGCAGCAACTTTTTTCCACCTAATATTTCTCGATGGCCCTCACACTTACTATGTCGAATAAAAGGCTTAACTAGGATTCAGGAACAGGTTTGCATCAATTCCTAGTATTATAAGCAAAGGCCTTTTCCATCATGCCAACCCCCTCTTTTTTAATGTTCAATAACCGTCCTTGAAATGCTGGATCAGGGTTATCTTGAACCGGTCTCCCAAGCTTCAAGGTCCAAGGCCTCCAGAGGTTTGTTTTATCTGTACAGCTTGAGTTCAATTCCCTACTTCTCTTTCAGATTTACCAATTGGACACAAAGTTTAAGAACCATCAAGGTAAAAAATAAACAAACAAAAAAGAACTATCAAGGTTTGCACCCAACCAGACAAGCAGACAACTGTTTCAAAACACCTTCAAGTCAAAGGGACACTTATGAGTGGGGAAGAAGGACATGAACTCACCACTCCAAACCCGTTTACTGCTAACCCTGACAGGGTCTCTCTGTTTCAGCAGAACAGAGGCATCTCTTACAAAGTGAGAGGCTTTTTTTAACTTTTTTTTTTTTCTTTTTGGTGGACTTTTGAGGTGGGTCAGAGAAATGATGGGCCTGTGGCTTGCTGCTGTGTCCTCTGCGACCTCGTGACACATCCTCTGGGGACGGCTCGGATCTAAGTAAAATGAAACCGTTTCTCTAAGTTAGCTGAAGGTGTCCCTGTCTAGGCTCTAACGTTTACAACTTTTAGAAGCAACACACACACGCATACACACAAAAACCTTAAAGGACTTATTTTCAAGTCTTGTTGCTCCCCCCACCCCGTTATTTACAGGCTGACCTTCTTACTCAAAGTTCTTGGACAACCTGGTAAAAAAATTTTTGAGGCAGAGTCTCACTCTGCAATTCAGGCTGGCCTGGAACTCACGGTAATCCTGCTGCCTCAGCCTCCCCCGTGCTCGGATACAGGCGTGCGCTACCACACCCAGCTAGCCCGGCAACACTTGTAAGTATTTCATAAACCAGATCTGCACCAGTCAGAGGAAACGTGTTCAACAAAAGAGCTACTAGAAGCTCAGGCTCCCCCCCGCCCCGCCCCGCCCCATCCCAAGTGTTTTCCAAAGAACTCGACCAAGCCAGCGGTTTTGGACGTCTCCTGCTGGAGAAAGAAAGTGGAAGTGGAAGGCATTATCCCAGCGTCCTGTGCAAATCCGAGCATCGGTGCACGGCGCCGGGAGAAGGAGACCAGTCACCCCAGCTGCCCTCCCGGGCGCCCCGAGGCCCGGGCTCCCTGGCGCGGAGGCGGCGGCGGCGCCCGGCGGAAGCTGTTCCTGAAGGTGAAAGGTCAGAGGCGCCGCGGTTCCCGCAGTCCCCGCCCCAGCCTCCCGGCTCGCCGCCCCAGGTCCAGAGCTCGCACCAACGCCAGCGGCTCCCGCGGGGCCCAAGGCGGCGGCGCCGTTGGCCGTTGGCTGAGGGAACCCAGGGGCGCCCCCGCCCCCGCCCGGCGGCCAACACCACAGCGTTCCCGCCTGGCTACTTACCGCGCTGCCGCTGCCGAGCTGCCTCCCGAGGCCCGACAGTCCGCTGGGCCGACCGCCGGCTGCCAGGACAAAACTCAGGAAAAAGCTGAAAGGAAGGGCACCGAGAAAAAGGGGCACGGGAGCTCGCCGGGTTTGTGTATTTTGGGGAGGGGGGTCAGAGTTCGTGACCCCTCCCTCGATGAGGCGGTGCGCGCTGCAGTCTGCGCTTGCGCACGAGCGACGTGGCGAGGCGTCGAGAGGTCGTGACGTTCCCGAAGTGGGGCGGAGCAACCCGAGAGTGAGCCGCCCTTCTGAAAGTCGCCTGCCCCCTGTTGATGGGGAGGGACCATCACAGCTTTTGGAAGTCATGTGCTTTTAGGCATTGTTTCTCAAAGATGTGCTTTAAAGGAAATTTATAGAATCAGCGTTCCAGAGGGAGCAAAGGAATGAAAAAAGAATTCGGATGTGTTATGTACGTGGACCAGCTCCCTACGATGAATGTAACCAGTATGTACTGCAAATACATAATAATGCAATTTAAGAAAAAAATAGAATCAGTGTTTCCAAGCTGAGTAATAATAACTGATTTCACAACTGGGCTGGCTCTTTAGTTAGACTATTGGAATACTAGCAACTACGGATAGATTTTTACTTTTATTTTTCTGAGAATTGCGACCACTGTTAAACAGCTCCTCTCTTGAGGTTCAGCCTAACTGCTGCCTGGTAGGTGTGGGTGCCCTAAACGCTCCCCACCTTTCAAGGAGATGCTACCTAGACTCTCTCACCAGCCACAACGTTAATGGCCACTGTCCTTTGTAGCCCTCATTCTGACCTCAGGTCTTGACAATGCTATCAAAAACCGGCTTGATCTTGTGCCAGAAGATGAATCTATCTGCCTGACCCTACATCAGGTCAGGGTTTGGAAGCTGTTCTATTTATAGGTTATGCCACTTGCCCAGCCACTTTACCATGCCCTAATTTCCTGCCTTGCTGGGAACACAAAATATCATCTGACCTGGCTGGGAGTTTAGCTCAGTGGCATAAGCACCTGCCAGGCAAGCACAAGGTCATGAGTTCGATCTCCAGTACAGAAAAAAAAATCATCTGACCTAAATATGATTCATGTTGAGCAGCATTGGAGGCTGAAGTAGGATTGCTGTCAGAGTTAAAGAGACCACCCTGGGCTACATAATAAGCTCAAGGCCAGCCTGAACTATGTAGTGAGGCCCTGTCTTTAAAAACAAATCAAAAACAAAAGCAAATATGCCTCATTTGCTGAAAGTCCACTCTTAGTGCTAAGGCTATAGCTTAGTAGCACAACACTTGCCCAGTGTACACAAGGATTCTGGATTTTATCACTTGTTTATATTTGAGGCAACTCCCAACTCCCTAATAACCTTCAGTTCATCCCAAACTGAGAGCACTAGGTTCAAGGGACAAAACGAACTTGAGAACTTTTCTCCAGACAAAGTGCATAGTGTCCATGCCTGTGGTTACCCAGTTAATGCACTTAAGTCACAATAAGCCAACTGATTAAAATGTGGAAGGGGCTAGGTATACAGTCTCAGCACTCAGGAGGCTGAGGCAGAAAACTGCTGTGAGTTCAAAACCAGTCTGAACCACATAGTAAGACCCTGTCTCAAAAGCAAACAGGGTCAGGGATATAGCTCAGTGGTACATGCCTGGCAAACACAAGGTCCTGAGTTTGATTCCTGGTACAAAAAAAAAACAAAAAAAACGTGAAAAAATGATGTCATTGGAGACTGGAAAGGAGTGAATTGTAAATAATTGTGGAATGGTGGGCAAAAATGTTTATTGAAATGTATGTTACAGGGGCTGGGGATTTAGCTCAGCAGCGTAAGCGCCTGCCTTGCCAGCAGGCAGTCGTGAGTTCGATCCCTGGTACTGATAAAAATGAAAAAGACCAAAAAAAAAAAAAAAAAAACCCAAAAGAAATATGTTACACACTCCTTTTGATTCTTGCTATTATTTCCTATGCTATGGGAGTCCTAATCAGGAAGTCTTGCTGGTGCCCATGATTCAAGTGTTTGCTCTATGTTTTCTCCCAGTATTTCAAAGGTCTATCTGAGCCTTTGATCCATTTTTTAACAATGGATCTTGGTATAGGATAAGAGATCTAACTTTAGGCAACATGGAAATCCAATTTCCCCAGTACTGTTTATGGGGGAAAAAAACCACGTTTTTTTCTGGGTAGTCATAGAGCCTTCTATTGTCTCATCAGTGGGTCTTTTCCTGTTTTCAAAGAAGCTGCCTGGTGATTCTTTCTTTTTTGACTAGGAATCAAATTCAGGATCTTGCACTTGCTAGGCAGGCACTGGTGCTGCTGAGCTGTATCCCCACCTGATGTTTGTTCTTGATCCATTTTGGCTGGTGTTCGCTGGAGGGCTTATGAAGACAGTGCCCAAGATGAGTACTTCATGTGGAAAGATTCAAATGGAAGCAATTGATAAAATGGGCAAGCACATGTAGATTTAAATAAGTGGCAAATTCTGACATAAAGATGCAACTGTACATTTGAAATACAGTTCTTTCCCACTATAAAGACTGCCACCAGATGCACCTTGTCATTCACTGATAGGGTTTTGATCTGAGTCTGCAAGCAACTGATTCATTATAGTCTCTGTGCAGGGACGTCAGCCCTGCCAGCATGGGCCCATTACTGTGTGCGGAAGCTGATATCCTGGGACCTCCCTGTCCATGGCAGGGTCCCCATGCTTTGGAGTGGAAGGGTCGTGAGGGTGCTGACTGTGTAGCTCCGGCAGGCTGTGTGTGGAGCACTGCTCTATCCTACAAGGAGCTCACGTTGTTCCCTGGCACCCACAGCCTGCAGCTCTGTCTCGTGCTGCCCCCTTGTCTCTGTCCCTGGAGGAGCGCAAGTGCAGGCCCCAGAGTGACTCTTTCCCTCCCTGCTGCTTGGTACCTTAGCATCGGTCCCAGCCATGCTCACAGCAGGCTCAGGTGGCTTCTACAGCCCTTGTAGGAGCAGCTCCGTCTTCTGGGGCCACACTGCCCTGCAGCCCTGCCTCCCACATTGGGTCGAGGGCCACCCCTTGTGCTGTCTGGGGACTTGAGGGCACACTGGTGATAGGCTGGCAGTGCTTGGCAGACTTGTGACAGTGCGCACAATGCGAGCACATAGGTCTGTGTCGCACCCAGGACTTGTCCCTTCCGAAGTATGTCCAGTCACACATCCCCCACTTGACTCCCGGTCCACCTGGCGATGCTGAAGCAAAGGAAGCAGACTGGAAGACGGAGACGCCCTCTCAGCAGCGTGTGCTTACTGTGGGCTTTGTGAAGGACAGAGGTGCAGGAACAACCGCTGCCTCCATCTCTGAAAGCAGCAGCTGCGGAGGAGGGCAGGGCAGCACATTGTGAAGGGAAAACTCCTCTGTGAACAGTGGCACCCTGGTGCTGAGACCCCTGGCTCCCCGACCCCATGCAGGAGCATGTGAACGCACACTGGCTTTGAAATATGCAGGAGGATGTTCCTGGCTGTGATCACGACCAGCCTACTCTGCAGTAGGATTCCCCTGGCCCAGCGGATTCCCGTCCCTCTGAAACTGTGGCCTTTGCCTTCGCCCGAGCTGTAGGAAAGCCCAGAGGTGCAGGACGAGACAGGGTTAGAACGCGGAGCAGGAAGGCAGCCCACACAGTGCTGAGCATGGACCACACAAGGAAACAGAATGGGTCACATTTTATTTTTTTCCAGTGCTGGAATCAAACCCAGAGCTTTGCACATGCTAGGCAAGCACTCTGTGCTGAACTATACAGCCCAGGAGAAGTGACTGCAGTTCCTGAGGAGAGATAAGACTTCAGCCAAAGTCTATTAACAGCAGGGTTCTGGGTGTGGTGGTGCACGTCTGTAATCCTAGCACTAAGAAAACTGAGCAGGAAGAGCTCTATAAATTTGAGGCCAGCCTGGGTTACACAGTGAGTAGAAGGCCAGCTTGAAATTTGATGGGGTCCTTTCTCAAAAAACCAAGGGCCAGGGATACAGCTCAGTGGCAAAGCACCTGGCAAGCACAAAGTCCCATGTTTGATTCCTGGTACAAAAAAAGAGAACATAGCTGGGAGTGGTGGTTCATGCCTGTAATCCCAGCACTTGGGAGGCCGAGGCCGGAGGATTGTTGTAAATTTGAGACCAACCTAGGCTACAAAGTGAGTTTAACGCCAACTCGAACTATATAGCAAACCCTGTCTCAAAAAGACAAAACCGGGGGCTGGGGATTTAGCTCAGCAGCATAAGCGCCTGCCTTGCAAGCAGGCAGTCGTGAGTTCGATCCCTGGTACCGATAAAAACAAAAAAGACGAAGGAAAAAAAAAGACAAAACCAAAGAAAAAAAACCCAAATCCTCCCACAAAAAGATAGTTAGACATGGTAGTGCATGCCTGTAATCTTAGTATTCAAGAGACTGAAGCAGGAGAATCATGAGTTCAAGTTTAAGCCTGGCCTAAACTGAACAGAAGACTGACCCTGCCTTAAGAAAGACCTGCGAGGAGAGCATGTCAAGGACTGTGAGGTTACACAGGGTTTAAAACGATGTCATAGCAAGAAATATGGTACCGGGACCATTGCAGTGAGCTACATCCCACTCCTTTTTATTTTGAGACAGGCTCTCACCAAGTTGCTGAATCCTTTAGGCTGGAACTGGTGATTCTCCTGCCTCAGCTCCCTGGACTTCTGGGACCACGGGCATATGCCACTATGCCTTGGTTCTGTGGGAAACCATGCCTTTTATTTGAATTCAGTCCACAAAATGTTTATTATGAACATCAGGCACAATTTTAACCATGCCTCTTTTTTTTTTGCTGTCCAGTAATGTTGTACATAAAATGACTCACAGGTTAAAAACAGAGGCACCAGACCTGTGCCTAGGGGGAGTGCTTCCTCACGAGCCTGATACACTGGCTGGAAAGAAAGGTTTTGGCAGTAAATACCAAGGAAATCAAAGACCTTTCAAAAAAAAAACTGTACAATTTCAGCTAATACTGGCTTAGCAATTGTGCCTTTCCGATACAATGATTCCAGTGCATGTTTAAAAGCATAACATTATAGGAAACTTAGCAGTGTTCTTTTTAGATTTACAGTGAATCTCACTTGCTGGCGAGAAATAAAGAAACAGAACACCCCTTACAACAGCACAATCTGCCTGGGAGGCATGGATTCAACTCCAAGACTGGAAAGAAAAATATAAATAAATAAACTTTCAGTATTTTACTACTTTAAAAGACATCTGGTCAGGCATGGTGGTACACACCTGTAATCTCAGCACTCAGGAGGCTGAGGCAGGAGGATCACTGAGAGTTTGAGGCCAGCCTGGGCTACAAAGTGAGTTCAGGGCCAGCCTGAACTGTATAGTGAAATCCTGTCTCAAAGGCAAAAAATTTTTTAAAAATCTGTTTATGTTTATGCTGGACTGGTAGCTAGCGATAAAAAAGTCTAGATTTAATGAAAAGTCACACAGTTACATAAAACAAGTCAGATTTCTATCCTTTGCTATAATTGTTTGATGATGTAACATTAATGCATGCCACAAGAGGTACATAAAGTAGAAATACATTAAAGACTTAAGTTTCATTTCACAGTTACTGAGGTAGAAGCTGGTCATGTGTTTTTCCATTATAAAATACAAAAATTTTCTAGGTTTATTGATTCAAAGACATATTTTCTTAAGCAGTTTTTTTTTTTTTTGTACTGGGGGATCAAACTCATGACCTTGCGCTTGCCAGGCAGGCACTTACGCCACTGAGCTAAATCCCTGGCTGTTCTTCAGTGGTCTTATACTAATCATAATTTCTTTCTTTCTTTTCCTGAATTTTGGTTTTGAGACTGGGTCTTACTATATGGTTCAGACTGGCCTTAAATTTGAGGAGACAGATTCTCCTGCCTCAGCTTCTCAAATGCTAGGATTACAAGAGGCCTGTGCAATTATGCCTGGCAGTGATAATTTCTGAACCAAGTATTGCATTGAAATTTGCTTTCTGTGTTTTTTACTTACAAAGGTTCACAACTAGTGAGAGATGTCACAAGTTAAAGCAGAGAACACAGTGTGGGTGGGTCACAAATACTATAGAAAAAATAGAATTTCTGGTCTCTCGAGAAATAGTACTTTTAGAATTCAGTATGAGACTCAGAAATAATTCTGACCATTAAGTAAACATTACAATTTTAATAAATACATGAAAAAAGCAAACATTTTTTAAAAAACTACTTTTATCTAACAAAATAATTTCTTGTATCTGAGATATCTGAAAAAGTTTAGTTAGATCTATCTTGGCAGTGTTTATTTCTATAAAATTTGGCCTTCACTCCATCCTGATGAGTCCATGGTGCTGGTGAACAGGTGAAAGCGACACAGCTACAACACGGTGCCCTCCTGAAACGCCTCCATCCACCTGCGGACCAGAGAGAGCTGTCAGGGTTGCGGAGGCCCAGGGCCAGAGCACAGGCATCCCGGAGGAGGCGGGGCAGGGCCTGTGGGCGGAGCTGGGGCGGGGCCTGTGGGAGGTGCCCGATTCCACAGCACCAGGAAGGTGTCTCCCGGGGGACCTGCACTTCTTACGTGCATGGAGTACCATTTTCTGAAATCTGACTCACGATTTAACCTGGAAAGTGCATCTTTTATTTTTGTGAGGCATGATGGAGAGACCATTTCACATGTAAAAGTTCCATAAAGTCTTGCTGCTCTGATTTAACCGGCTATAGACAAGCATGTTATCTGTTGAAAGACCTTTAGCGGAACTCCAAGGCACACAGGTGTAATCCCAGCACACTGGCTGTGGCAGGAGGTCTTAAAGTAAAAAAGGGCTTCTGATGTAGTTCAGTAGCAAAGTCCTAAGTGTAGCCCCCAGTAGTGCACCAAAATCAACCAACCAATCACAAAAAACCTCCCGGGCAGCTCCTCTCCTTCTGGGGTTCTGACGCACTGCTTCTGGGAACACACACAGGGTGCCTTTTCCTTCCTTTTGAGCTCCACTGACCTGAGTGTCCTAGTGGATTCTGGGGTCCAAACCTAGTATTTTTGATTTCAGGGCCTCCCCCTGGCATTTAATACTTCGCGTGCAATACATCTGCTTTTTGAGACATCACAGAGGTCTTCCCAAGATCCTCTGGTCTGATGGCCACAGCTATGAGTGTTGACACTCTGCAGTGTCTCTTCCCTCCCTACCAACAGTCACTGTGTGGAACCTTACAACAGTCATTTCTTTCCTTTCTCATGGAACTAGATTTTTTTTTTTAATAGGATATTATGGATCTGGCATGGAGGAGCATGCCTGTAATCCTAGCACTTGGGAGACTGAGGTAATAAGACCTCTGTGAGTATAGCATGAGTTCAAATCCAGCCAGAACTACCTAGTGGTCTATCATAGAGTCTCAAAAAACCAACATAGATAAACACAATAGGAAGGGTCGGAGACGTAAGTCAGTGCAAAGACCCTGCGTTTGGTCCCCAGAACTGCCAAATAAATGCAAATCAAAGAACAACTCGGAAGCTTGGGTACACAGGGAGCAGGTCCGTGCCACTCACTTCTGCGCTGACTGTGCGTCCTCTGCTTTGAAAACGTAGAACACCATGTCCTTGTGCAGCAGCTGGAACACTCTCGGGTCTGCGCTGTCATCGCTGACCCGGGTGACTGTGAAGCCTAACAGAGGCTGACTCTCCAATGCCGCCACGTCCTGAGGTTCAAGACACCGACACAGAGGGAATTCAGCTTCGCTCACAGTGGGGCCTGGGCCTCAGATCGGCACAGCTGTGAGGTCAGCATTGTAACAGCTGGCGCACCGATCACCCGTTCACTCACAGTCACGCCCCCGACCCCACCGCCAGATGAGGTGCTCACAGCCCCTGACCCTCAGGTGAATTCTGCTACCTCCCAAGAGACACCTTGATTTTCATTAGAAGGTAAGTGGTAGCCAGCTAAGGATCCCCTTCCCTCCAGGGGTTTTCATAGACTGCTGGAGCACAGGAAATAGAAGAAAAGGACAGAAAGCCACAATCCTCTTGACAGCCTCCACCATCCTTCTAATCCCACACTCAGGAGGCTGAGGCAGGAGGATCCCCACAAGGGCAAGAGAGTGGGCTACAGCCTAGGCTACATAGTGAGTTCAAGGTCAGCCTGAATTACATAATGAGATTTTGTCTCAGAGAGAGAGAGATCCTAATGCACTCGGAGTTCTCTAGGTTCTCGAGGTCCAAAGCAAGAACATTATTCAAATAAGACAGAACAGCAACAACGTCTCCTGCTCCCAGCAATGCATTAAAGGGCTGGGGTGTGTGTGGCACTGACCCGGCAGACATGACGTCCTGAGCTGGATCCCCAGGGCTGTCAAACAAAAGCACACCCCAGGCCTCAGAGCAATAAAACAGACATGGCACCCAACAAGCCCCGCCCTGGCCCATCTCCAGTGCCCTCACCTCGCTGGCTGCGTATGTATACAGCACTTTGTTCTTGATGACAAACCAGAGATGCCTCCATGGCTTCCTGGCGCCCTTCGCCCGGTGCAGGTAGCCGCTCATGGTGGAGTCCTCCGCGCTGGCCCGTACCTGTGAGCACAGGGCAGCAGCCTGACCAGGGGCAGGGACAGTGCAGGGTGCAGAAAGTAACAAGGAAAGGTTTCGGGATACTCTTGTGTGTTTAAAAAGTCTGCTACAATACCAGCTGAATACTGCTGTTAAAGCAAGCGTAAGAACTTGTCTTTTGTAAGAAATGTGGAGGTTTTACCTGGCTCATCTGAGGTTCTATGTGTATGTGTGTGTGTGCATGTGTTTCTATGTCTTTTTTTCTTTTTGGGGGGGTATCAGGAAGTGAGCTCAGGACCTCACACTTGCCAAGCAAGTGCCATACCACTGAGCTACATCCCTGGCCCCATTTACTTCTGAGCTGGTCTCACTCTGTAGTCTAGGTGTTGGATTCAAATTCATGACAATTCTTTTGCCTCATGTCCCAAGTGCTGGGATTACAAGCCTGTGCCACCATGGTGGGCTTTTCTGTTTTAGTAGGAGAAGAAAAAAATGATCCAAAGCTTTTCTAAAAGTTTCACTCTTCAATTTAACTAATTAAAATTAAAAGGGTAGTAGAGATTGAAGCCAGCCTTTCCGTCAGGCAGCACTACAACTAGTGCTCGTTTTTCATGTTATAGTGGGAGACAGTGTGTAAGTTACTAAGTTGCTCAGGCTGGCATTGAACGCATGGCAATTCCCCCGTCTCAGCCTACAGCACAGCATGGGCTATCACGGCCAGCCTTTACTTATTTTCTTAAGAGCTGAAACTCTTGCAAGCTGGCTCAGGCGGCTGCAGCCATCGGCCCTCTTCTGTCTGCCGAGTGGCTGACTGGAGGTGCAGCTCCGCTTTTGGCCAGAGCTCAGCACTACGCAGACTCACGTCTAGGAACCCAAGAAGAACGAGCCAGTCCCAGGTGCCCGCTAAATCGGCTTAGCCTGTTCTGACTCTGCAATTAGACCTCTGCAAATCTTATTCTTATATTTTGTGAAATTAGCTATAGATTACTTTGTGTGATTTCAGCTGGAAACATAAGAAATATGATTCTGATAAAATTTTAGTATCATTCACCTTCTCTTTGTATGATAAAGCCCTCCAGAGTAACCAAAGAAGAGAATCAGCCAGGCATAGTATTGCACACCTGTGAACCAGCACTCAGGAGGCTGAGGCAGAAGGATGGCAGCACCAGCCTGAAGTAAATAGCAAAACCTTGTTTGAAAAAAAAAAAAAAGGCAAAGCACAAAGAATGCAAACCCCTATTTAGAGCTAAGCACAGCCTCAGGAGGCAGAGAAGGGCGAAACATTTGACTGGGGCGGGGGGGAGTTAGGCTGTGAACAACACAGCCATCTTGAAAACACAAAAAAAATTCCAACAAAACACACTGGACTCTGCTGGCTACAGAACGGGCTATGCGGAAACAGGTTGTCTCGAGAGTGGCTGGGATGGCAGTGCTGTGTGGCTCAACACTGCGGACTGAGCTGGAAACGGTGGGATCTGGGTGGGATATCCACTGTGCTGTGTGTTACACTGGCCAGGTCGAAGCTTGCAGGCCAGTGTCACCAAGAAGACTCTAAGTTACGAAAATCAGAGCCAGGCATGGTGCTGCAGGCCTGCAATCCCAACATGATGGGGGGCAGAGACAGGAGGGTGTAATGTTCAAAACCAATCTGAGTGACTTAAGGAAAGGCTGTCTCAGACTTTTAAAAGGCCTGGGGATGTGACTAAGTGTAAAGTCCTGGGTTCAACCTCCAGAACTACAAAAGAAACAAACGAAGCAAAATAAGAACAAAGACAACCTACTGTGAGTATCTGCTGTCCGTAACCAGACACTGTTCACAAGTAACAAATGTGTAGATCAGTAAATGCTAAATGCCCAAAATTATTCCACAGACTTCTTTCCTCAAGTAAGGGGTCTCCTTGAAGTAATTTTTAAAAATTCATACCACAGCTGGATGTGGTGGTACACACCTGGAAAGCCCAGCATTTGAGAGGCTGAGGCAAGAAAACTGTCCTTAAATTCCAGAGTGGGCTACCCTACAAAGGGAGAATATCTCAACTAAACAAAAGTTCATGAGTATATGACTCAGCAGAGGGCCAGGGTCTTCACTTTGTAGACCTCCCGAGCCTGTGCAAGAGGAGGACAAGGAGCTGTCAGCGCTACACTCTCTTAGAGGGTGGGAGCCTGCTTATGGTATAAAGGAGGGAAAGAGGCTTGCTTCCCCCCTTGCTGCTTTTGCTGTCTTCTGACCGCCATGAACAGTTGACCCAGCGCTGTGCCACCATGCCTTGGAGCCAGCTGATTAGGGACTGAAACCTCTACAAACTACGAGCTAAATAAACCTTTCCTTCCTTCATTTTGGGTGTCAGGTATTTTGTTGTAGCAATGAGACAGAATTTGATACCGGAGAGGTGGGGTCATTGCTAGGACTGTTTCTGACCATGTGGTTCAAGAGCCTTTGGGACTGGCTTGTTGGAAGATTTAGGAAAGCCCTGGAATGTCAACTGAAAGAACGGCTCTGAAACGCCTTAGGCTGTTCTGTAGGGGAGATTCTGGTCAGAGCTCAGAAGCCCAGAAGGTGGACAGAAAGTATGCCAGTGAAGACCAGGTTTGGGAGGATTCTGTGGGGAAGAAGGACTGCACTGGGTGCTGGACTCCAGATGATGTGTGTTATGGCTTGATAGAAAGTTGGTCTGTGTTTTGCTCATATACGGAGCTTTTGCCTGAGACTGAGATTACAGATGATAGACTAATTAATCTGGCAGAAGAAATTTCAAGACAGTCAAATGTTGAGGCTGTGGCATGGCTATTTGGGGGACTTTTAGCCAGATCTATGTTGAGAATCAAGAGCAAAGAGCCTAGCAGAATGATTTAAAATGTGAATTTGGCTAGGAAAGAAGCTCCAATAAAACTGTGGACTGCAAAGATAGAGCTGAGAAAATCGTGATTACTGAGAAGGAAAAGGAGAATAGAAAAGATGGCCTGAGGGCATCAAAAGAAACAGATCTCCACCTTTTGCAGCCTCAAAACTGCAAAAGTGAAAGGCCTTGCTTTGAGGAGAAAGGCACAGAGCACCATGTTTAGAATGACTGCAGAGGCCACACCAGGTTCCAGAATGGTGGTGGCAAAGGAAATTTGTTTCTCAGAAGTGGATTCAGAGGGCCCAGTGATCCAGGGACTCAAACCCTACAGCCAAGAGAAAAGAAAGCCTGGCTACCACTCTAGCTGGCAGCAGACCTTGGCATCATCCTTGTGGCACTGGTTTTAGGTGCTTGCAGAAAGCCAGAGTTATGGGGTTAAGAAGGCTTCCGCCCTGATTTCAGAAGATGTAGGGGACCAGTCAGTGAGCCTCTGAGAGGCCAGTGTGTGAGGCTGAAGGTGCAACGGAGACCATCTAAGGAAAGCTGCAGGGGAGGAAGCGCAGCAGGACTAAGAGAAGCAGTGGGAGCTACACGCTCTGGAAATGTCCTCACAATTGGCCACAGATCGCTTCCCTTGCTGGACATGGAACTACAGGACTTAACGTTTGCCCTGCTGGATTGTGGACTTGCTTTGGTCCCAATGCTTTGACCCCGTTTGTTACTTTTGGAATGAAAATGTTCATCTTAGGCACTGAATGTTGGAAGTGTTTAACTTTGTTTTCATTTCTACAGGCACTTTCACCTAAGAGTTTTCTTACATCTTAGAGAAGAATTAGGACTTGGACCTTTCAGCAATGCTGAAGGTCTGTAATGCTGTTAAAAGTCTCTGGCAACTTTTGTAGATGGACTAAATGTCTTTGGAATAAAGGGATGTGCATGAATCTTTGGCAGGCCAGGGGCAAAATGTTATGGTTCTAATGTAATAAAATGTCAATAGACCTAATACTGGTTCTCCAGGATAGTTATAAACCTGTGTTATAATGTTCAAGTTGTGAAATGATAAGAATAACCATGTCTGCATCTGGAAGCCTCTTTAAAGAAATGTGCCAAATTGATGAGAGGTGGATTATCATGGTTGACACACTGAGTCAACTTGAGAATTTGAAGCGACTCATCAGGGGGCCAGGGTCCTCACTCTGTAAACATCCTGGGCCTGTGCAAGAGGCCCGCACCCAGATGGTGCCAGTGCTAAACCCGTCCTGGGGAGCTGGTTGCCAGAGGCCTGCTCCCCGTCTCTTTTGCTCTTCTTGCTGTTGCTGGCTGCTGCCTTGAAGTGTTGCCTGGTGCCATGCCACACTGCCTTGCAGTCAGTCAGCTCAGTATGGACTAAAACCTCTATGAACTGTGAACTAAATAAACCTTCTCTTTAATTTTGGGCATCAGGTATTTTGTCCCAACAACAAGACAAAAGTGACCAAGTCAGTATGCAACTTATCTTTCCTTTCTCTCCTTGCTATAAAATGCTGTCCAAATCTTTTTCCCATCATTTTCTAAATGAGTGAGGCCCTAGGGAGCCTCCTCAGACTGAGGCCTGGGACTCCCCCTTCTAACCCTGCTGTAGAGGTCATTCTTGGGTGCAGGACAGGGGCCTGAGGGAAGCACTTACTTCTTTGAGAGCTGCAGGGATTTTTTTCTGCTTCCGTCCAGAGGGGATGGACTGGAGCACCGAAGTCAAGGCACTGGATGGAGACTTGTGGCTCACAGCAGGCCTGGGCCTCGGGGAGTGCTGGTGATCTGGAACAAAGTGGGAACGATCAGCATCAGCCGAAGCATCTGCCTTTCAGAGTCACTCAAATCCAATGAATATTGTGTGCAGATTATTCACAGAAAGAAACTCAAAATATGTAAGCATGACATCAACTCCCGGCTCAAGAATGCAAATGGTGGCCAAGAGCGAGCAGAGGAAGCCTTTCCAGGGTGTCTATGGGCTTATACTTCTGGAACATTCTTTTTTCCCCAGACAGGGCCTCCCTATGCAGTTCAGAGGGGGCCCATGAACTTGCTGTATCCTTCTGCCTCAGCCTCCTGAGTTTGGGATTATAGGCATGTACCACACCTGACTTCCTTTTAAAATTTAGGTCCCATATGTTTCAGATTTTTAGCTAGAGATTATCTTCCCAAAGTACAGACATGAGCAGTTCTTGGCACAATTATTTTGCCTATAAAAAGCCCGCAAAGAACACCATGGTTCAGAAGTGCCACGCTGTGTCTGTCCCAAAAGGGGCACCTTTTAAACATGCAGTGAAATGCCACTAACAGCACATGACCAGAATTGGGCCGAGTGCCACCAATCTGTTCCCTACAGAATGACCTGGCAGGTGGACACGAAGTGGCCTGCAGTGGGCACACATCTGTGGCGAACAGGAAACTCAGAAATTACTAGGAAGCTGGAGTTCCTTGTGTGCGGTTTTAGGCGCCTCATCCTGCAATTATATCTCCAGTTAGTTTTCTTAGCAAAACTTGTTCACGGAGGGAAAACAAATGCAGTCCAGCTTCTCTTGGAATTACCACGAAAGCTGAGTTAGGAAAGCTTAGTACTAATTTTAAGCCATGTGTAAAATCTGTTGCCAGGATGTCAAAGATGATTCCTTTCAGAAAGCTGCTTAGTCCCCTTCCTTTCTCTCCTTGGTTGTTTTCTTTTTTTGACTTTTTTGAGACTGGGCCTCACTATGTAGTCCAGACTGGCCTTGAACTTACTATGTAACCCAGGCTGGCTTCAGACTGGCAGCAACCCTCCTGCATCCGCGTCCCAAGTGCCGGAATTACAGGAGGCTGTTGGAAAGCACGTGGGAAAGAAAGGTATTTTTGAGGAAGCCTTTATTTATTATGTATTACCTAGTTTCTGCAGTTCTTGGAAACAATGTTCACAAACTCTTGCAGGTTGGTTTTTCAAGTAATCCAAGCCATGCTTGTTTGAGGAGCAGGCTTGGCAGACGACCTGAAACACATTGCAGTCACTTCATTACGTTTCGCAGCAGCTTCCCACGCACTAAGGCTCAAGCTCCCAGGGCTCCAGCACCAGGTGACCAATTCCTACTGAGTGCTTCCTACATAAAATACTATAGGCAGAGAACTGCCGCACACAAAATGTTCAGAATGGCGCCCGTGCCCTGCAGGCCAAGGCCTCCTAGCTGTCTCGGCCATCATTGCTATCTTTGTTTCTTGGGGTTTTGTTGAGACAGGCCTCGCTATGTAGCCCAGGCTGGCCTTGAACTCCTGGCAATTCTCCCACCTCAGCCTCCTGAGTGCCGGGATTACAGGAGTGCGCCACCAGGCCAGGCCTGTCTTCCTATCTTGTTTTGTTCTGTCTGGCATCTAGGGTCGAAGCTCCCTCAGGGTGCGGGGCCAGTGTGGGGGCTGGCTGACCTTCCCACAGGCGCGGCAGTGGTGTCGCCTCCAGGTGAGCGTGAACTCCCTGGTGCAGATCATGCACATGGTGGCCCTGGTGTCTGGAACCCAGATAGGCGCCTTGGAACCCAGGGGAGTCACTTCCTCTTTCCTCTCCGAGTCGGCCTGCAGGAAAAGAATGACTCTATTATCTCTGTCCACATGGCCTGCAACTGAATCAAGCCTTCAGTTGGCAAAGGTGTCACAGTCTGGGTATAGGGAAAGCTGGGCTATTCCAGCTCTCGTGTTCTTAGGCTGGTAAGACTAGTTGCACTCCAAAAATCCTCTGCTGCAAAACTGACTCCAAAAGATGTGCCAGGCATGGTGGCACACTCCTATAATCTCAGGACGCAAGAAGCTGAGGCAGGAGGATCACCAAGAGTTTAAGGCCAGCCTGGCATACACAGCGAGGCCCTGTCTCAAAAAAAACAGAAAACCTGTCTATGGTAGTTGGCATACTGGATCAGTTTCTTCCATAAACTGTCCGTAGGGCCTAAATTCTCTACAACAGGAGCTGGGTGTAGCTCAGTGCTGGGCCCCATATTTTGCATGCCTGGGTGCTGGGTTCCAGCCTCAGCGTCACACACCTGTAATTACACACCTGTAATTCCAACTACTTGAGAGGCTGAGGCAGGAGGACTGCCAAGTTTGAGGTCAGTCTAGACAACCTAGAAGGGCCCTGACTCAAAATCAAAAATAAAAAAGAGCTGGTGATCTTGTTTGGTGTGAAGGCCCTAGCTTTAAGCCACAGCACTCACAAAAAAAAAAAAAAAAAAAAAAAAATCCTACAATGAGGTTTTGTTTTGTTTCGTTGAGTCAGGATCTCACATTGTAGCCCAGGCTGGACCCAAACTCACAATTGTCCTGTTTCAGCCTTCCAAGTGCTGAGATTATAGGTGTGGATATTCACCTTATGGAGTAAAGTTCTTTTGCTTTTTTTTTTTTTTTTTTTGGCCCTGGGAGTTTGAACCCAGAACCTTCACACTGAGCTACATCTGTAGGCCCTTGTTATCATTTTAAAAATTTTGAGATGGGATCATGCAAAATTTCTCAGGTTGGGCTTGAACTTTCTATCCTCATGCCTCAGCTTCCCAGAGTGCTGGGATGATAGGCGTGTGCACCACATTCAACTACAAGGAAGTCTTCTAGCTCAGAAAAAGGGTCTACTGTGTGTGCTCCCAGACTTGCAGGTAGCGGCTGGGCATGGTGGTGCACGCCTGTGACACCAACACTTAGGAAGCGGAGGCAGGAGGATCGCAGTGAATTCAAGGACAGCCTGAGTTACACAGCGAGACCCTATCTTAAATCCCTCAAACAAACCAAAACACAGACGTGTGGCTAAGTATTTACAGATGGGTAAACATTCAGCTCTGAAATCACACACAACCTCCATCCTTCTTTGGAGCACACGCTGCTTTTCTAACCCGCTGTAAGAAGGCTCTGTGGGGTGAAAGCTGTTTGAAATGCACTGGGAAAAACAGAAAGAAAAACAATACCTCATCAAGACTCCTACCAGGACAGAAGGTGACTCTCTTCTTGGCATGGTCCTCGATGGCCCCAGTAATGGCTGCCAGCCACTCATCTCTCTCTTGGGCAGAGCTGTTAGGGTGAGAGCGGCCGTGAGGCAGAGGTGGCTGTGGCTGTGCCCCTCTCTGTTCCCTTCCTGCCCATGGCAGCCCCGTACCCTAGCTCCCAAGGCTGGTGATCTCAGCAGGTGAGAGACGGGGCTCAGCACACCAACCCTACTCTCCCAAACTATCATGCCTCAGATGGTGGTCACTGCTCCACGGAGACCAGGGCAGAGGGAAAGGGGTTAAAAGAAAAATTCAGAAATGTCACAGCATGCACTGCTCCCCAGCTACGGGATAGCCATGTAGTATGGACGAGTGGCGACACTAAGGTCTTCTGTGTGTACGAATCTTTTTATTTGGTTTGTGGTTTATGACTATGATTATTTACATAACCAAAAGTTTCCCTAAGACATAATCCTAGAATTTAAAAAATACTGTAAGAAGCAAGTTATGAATTCTAATTCAGATTAGAATTCTAAGCATCTTCAGATCATGAAATACTACTAAAACCACTAGAAAGGACAGTGAGGCGGACATCGGTCTAGTGTCATAAAACAGATGTTGAACGAGTGGTTAAAAGAGAAATGGCCTAGTGCCAGGGATATAGCTCAGTGGCACGGCACTGACTAGCAACTACAAGGTCCTGAGTTCGAATCCTGATACCCCCCAAAAAGGAAATGGTCTGTCCAACAGTGACACAGTAAGGGCTCCCTACCTTTCAGCTCACAGAGCTTCTGCTCCTACCTTCCTTGTCAGGAGATATCTTTAACTGGACTTTAAAGGAAATGAGCCAAAAAGGAAAAGTGCCCCCAAAATGGGACACTTGTTCTGCCCTTTTGTGTGTGTGTGATTGTAGGAGTAAACCCAGGGCCTTTGCACTGACCAACATCCCCAGTCCTTTCTTTACGTTTTTTTACTTTGTGAAAGGGTCTTGCAAAGTAGCTACACTGACTAGGCTGGGTTTGAGCTTGCAATTCTCCTCCCTCAGCCTCCCAGAGTGCTGGGGTTAAGGGTGCACCACCATGTTCAACTTTTTCTACATTTTAAAAAATTTTTAAAATCTTTTTGGTACCAGGGATCGAATTCATGACCTTGCACTTGCCAGGCAGGCGCTTATGCCGCTGAACTAAATCCCCGGCCCTCTGTTCTACATTTTTGTGCCAAGGCCTCTCCTTCCAAACCCATGGCAGCTCCTCATCATCACTGGCTGTCAGGACATTTATGAGTAACTGTTTAAATTATATTTTGCATATTCAAAACTGAGAGGTATTCTGTTAAGTAACAGAAATACAGATAAATAAGTAAGTCTCTCCATACACATGAGTGGATGCAGAAGGAATGAATAACCAGCTTCAAACTGCATCACAATAAAATTAAATCCATCACAAGGGAACTGAGACTGTGGGAAATGTACTTATTAGAATGGCACCCTGAAGTATGCAGCAGGACGATGTCTGGACAGCTAGACCTGGTTTTAAAATACTTTAGGAAAGTATTTTTAGAAAGAAAAATTGGTAGGACTAGGGATATAGCTCAGCGGCACTGCGCCTGCCTGGCAAGCATGAGGTTGTGAGTTCAACTGCCGGTACTGAAAGAACAAAAGAATAAAAGGAAGAAAGAAAGAAAGAAAGATTGATTCTATTATTTTATATGAAATGGAGTCCCATTATGTAGTCCAGGCTGGCCTTGAACTCACTATGTAGCCCAGGGTGTCTTTCAACTATTGGCAATCTTCCTGCCTCAGCCTCCTAGATTATAGGTCTGTGCTACCATGCCCAGCCGAATTTATTTTTATTAGTAATTTTAAATATAAAAAAATTTAATAATAGAGCCAAGCATAGTAGCATATGCCTGTAATCCCAGCACTTGGGAGGCTGAGGCAACAGGATTGCCTCCTATGCCGGAGGCCAGCAGACCAGCCACAACTAACTAGTGAGACCCTGTCTTTAAAAAAAAAATTCCATAATAGGCTAAGGATGTAGCATAGTTAATGGCAAAGCACTTGCCTATGCATGAGGTCAAGGGTTCAATCCCTAGAATCATCACCACCAAAAAAAGTCCATCATAATGGTACATAACGCGCGCGCGCGCACGCACACACACACACACACACACACCACATGCACAACGCGCTGCTTCTTTGCAGTGCCAGGATCCAACTGAGAGCCTTGTGTCTTCTAGACAAACTCTGTACCACCAACTTACTTAGTCCTCAGCTGCTTACTGTTGATTTTGAGACAGAATCTTTCAATGTACTCCAGGCTGTCCTTGAACTAGCCAATCGTCCTGCCTCTGCCTCCCAAGCACTGGGATTACAGGTGAGCACCACTACAACTGATGAGCAGATCAAGAAAATACTAAAAACCATGTGCATTTTCCACTATATCATTCTCAAAAATGTATTCTTTTTTTTTTTTTTTTTTTAATCAGTACCGGGGATCAAACTCATGACCAAGTGCTTGCAAGCCAGGTGCTTACGCCGCTGAGCTAAATCCCCAACTCCTGAAATATATTCTTTATAAGTGGCTCTGGCTATTCTAAACACTCCTAAGAATATTTGTTCCAATGGACAGAAAAGGGTAGAACAATAACAAAAGAAGTAGCCAAACCAAACCTACTTAGTTACATCTAATATTCTAACACTCTTCAGTCTGAGCTGCATTCCCATCCCTTTCTGAATTTTTATTCTGAGGCTGGGTCTTGCTAAATCTCGAAGTAGTCTAGGCTGGGTTTGAACTTGCAATCCTCCTGCCTCAGCATCCCGAAGGTCTGAGATTACCAGCGTGAGTCACCACCCCCAACCAGAAGTGACATCTAACAGTAAGGACATGGCATGCAAAGGCGCTGAATGCTTGTCACGTGTGGCCATGTCTCCTGCTCGGAGCTGCTCCATAGAAGACAAGCTGGTGCCTCTGCTCTTTCCCGGTGCCTTTCACCCATGGTCACCATTTACAGACCTGCGACTGGAACAGCACTGGCAGGCACCTGAGCACAGGTGAGCACTGAGCGTGTACCTCTAGCCCATGGCCAGCCTCTCTGTGCACTTGTGTTTTCTTTTTTCTTTTTTTTTTTTTTAATCAGTACCGGGGATCAAACTCACGACCACCTGCTTGCAAGGCAGGCGCTTATGCTGCTGAGCTAAATCCCCAGCCTCCTTGTTTTTGTTTTTTGAGACAGCATCTCGCTACCGAGTTCAGGCTGCCCTTCAACTCACTATGGAGCCCAGGCTGGCACTGAACTTGGTACAATCCGCCTGCCTCAGCCTCTCGAGTGCTAGGATTACAGCGGTATTTCACCATACCCATTTGGTGTTCATGATGGGCTTCCAGGCCAGCATCAGGAAATCTAAAACTTCTCCCAGTCTCCCTGTGGTCTACTGGAAGAAGCTTCAAGGGGCAGAGGTGGATGGCTAGCTGGAACGACCACTGGATGTCTGGAGCCCAGAGGAACATGACTCTGCCAAGAAGACCCTGTCACAGGTGCTGTTCTGGGGTGATTAACCCTGGTTGGGCTCCTGTAGGCCCCTGCTGAGCAGTGTCCAGCAGTCCTCACAGCCCCCAGCGGCAGTGGAGATGCCAGCTGCTTCTGCAATGGGATGGGCACAGGCACCTGAGCCTTCCCCAAGTTCAGAAGCGGTGGCCCCAACTTCTTTGCTGTGTACAATGTGGCGCTTGAACTTGCAAGGGTCCCTCGGGGCTCAGCTCAGCATCAAAGCCTTTACCATGTAACCGGCAGATGCTTTGACCGCATCCTTGTCTGGGATGCACTGTTCAGTGGCTTCCTGTGGCTACTAAGCTAAAGACCAAAATCTACGAGGTGGCTGGGTGTGATGGCACATGCCTGTGATTCCAGCACTCCGGAGGCCGAGGCAGGAGAAATGCCCCAAGTTCAGGTCAGCCTGGGCATTGCAGAGTTCAAGCCAGCCTGCACTGCAGAGTGACACGTTGTCTCACAAGACCAAGCAAACAGAGGTACCTGGCTGAGAGGATGAAGGAGCGCTCGACACTCTCGATCTTTAATTCGTTCTGATAGGCCTCCTGGCTGGGCTTTCTGACCTGGAAGAAAGCACCGGGGTTTGAGGAGTCGCAGACCTCTGTACGCCACCCTTCTGCCCTCCACACTCCACCATCTCACACCCACAGGCCTGACCTCCCACTGCAGGTCTAAGGCCACAGCACCACCTCGAGGCAGGCATTGTCAGGACTCTGCCTCTTCCTCCCATAGACCTGGCTTCCTCTTCCCCAGCTGTCAGTCAACAGCCACACACCTCTCCCCACAAGAGTTTCACATGCACAGGAATTAACAGTGATTTTTTTTTTTTTTTTTAGTATTTTGAGACAGGGTCTCCTATGTAGGCCTGGCTGGCCTTAAACTTGCTAGGATCCTCCCGCTTCAGCCTCCTGAGTGCTGGGATTACAAGCATGCACCACCATGCCCAGCTTTTTATAGTGATATTTGTTACTGTCTACTTCATACATATGTATCTACAGGCCAAAACTAACAGTTTTCAGTCATCCTCGTATTTTCCACCAAACTTAGGACGAAGTTCTGTTTATAGTTATCCTTAGTAAGTATGCTTTGAGTAAACGAGTGCATGAATGAAGAAGTGATACACATAAACAAGCACAGCTACGAACAGCAGCATCTAGAGAGAGAAGGTGGGAGGGCTCCCACCATCCGGGGCTCCCTCCCCCGGTCAGCATACTCGGGTATTTGGGTAGGATGGAAGGGGTCGCCGCGCTGACCTTCATGGCGGCCAGGGACAGTATGTTGTTCAGCTTGTAGGTCCCGGACTGCAGCGGGGTGGTGTACAGCAGGACGTCGTTGAACTGCAAGGAGGATCGGTGTACAGGTCACAGACACAAACTCAGCTCCGCGCTTGCTTTTGTTTTTTTGGTTTTTGGTTTTTTAAATCTAGGGTTCACTACGCAGCCCAGGCCAGCCTCAAATCAGCAGTGACACTCCCGTTACAGCCTCTCCCGAGTGCTAGGATTGCAAGCACCACCACACTCAGCTCATCATCTAAGATATAAGAGCAAAGGAGAAGCACGGCCTCTTCGCTTATGGCTCTCTAAATAAAACACTTCTGCTCGTCTCCACAAGAAGCCCCTCAGATGCTCTGACTATTATTAAAAAGGCAGTTTCCGGACAAGGCGCTTCTGGTTCTGTAGCAGAGAGAGCATTTTCTGAATTCCAGCTCGAGCTATGGCCTAAAGTCTCCCAAAACAGAAACGCAGCCCGCTGAGTCCCCAGAGGCTGCACATGTCTAACTTTGGGCATAGCAGCCCTCGCCTACTGCAGCTGCTGCCAGACACCCTGCAACAGTGTAGAAAGGGGCGGGGGGCAGGGACACTGCGCCCCAGAGGAGCAAGCACCAATGCGACGGCAGGCGGCCTCACCAGGAAAAACATGCGCGGCTGCATGACCTTCCGGGACAGCTTCATCAGGACGCCTTCCTTCAGGAAAACCTGGGCACAGGTGTACACGTGTCAGCCACGCGCCTGGCACTGCCACCGCCCCCGCCCATGCAGCAGCACCTTCCCAGCCAGCCCCACCTGGCTCAAGGGAACACTGTTTCCGTGTGACTCTGGTCGATCATGGCTTGTGTTTTACCTGGGCATGGTGCTGGATAAAAGCCCGGGCCTCGGGCATGCTAAGCAAGTGTGACATCACCAGCACCACTCCCAGGGCCCTTCGGTTTCTTTTTTTGGTTTTTAGAGGGAAGGTCTCACTCTGCGTCTGGGCTGGCCTTGAACTCAATGCCCAGTGATCTTCCTGCCTCGGCCTCCCCCTTGCTGGGATGACAGGGTTTGCCACCATGCCTCGTACCTGCAGTTGTCTTTTAAGACTCATCACTCAATTGGAAACTGGACAGAAAGAAAGATTGTAAAGCCAAGACTGGCTGCAGGGCCTTCTGTGGGCTGAGCGTCCTACACCCTGACGTCATTCTTTAATTTTCCTAATCCCTTCCCAAGGCCACTTTTGTGGCCGATTAAATGACAGATTTGAAGTAAAATGGCATTCAGAGCTCTACGAGGTCAGCTTGTATTACATAGGAAAATGACGCAGTTAAATGCTCTCACTGGAATTTGTGGGGCTCTCAGCCTTTCTCCTAACTGAACTGGATGTCTTGCCAGTGACTTCTGTCATAGCTGTTTTCTGATTTTGTTTTGAGACAGTAACCGACTATGTGGCCCAGGCAGACCCTGAACTTCTGCAATCGATCTGCCAGCCTCGGCCTCCAAGTGCTGGATTCACAGGCATGAGCCACATGCGGCTACAAGGAACCTACTCTCCTGACGAAAATGAACACTAGGTACGGTGGTGCCCGAGCACAGTGCACACTGCTCGCAGGGCGGGCAGAAGCACCTACCCGTCCCGGCTGCAAGATCTCTCGGTGCCCGCTCAGGCTGTACTGAATGCGCAGGACCTTCTGGAAGTTGTCCTGCAGAGAGACAGACTGTGTCAGGCCTGGCCCGGGCCCCATGCAACCTGCCCCCGATTGCCCGATACTCACGCCCTGCTTCATGCTGTCATTGGCATGGTTGGCCACCTCGATCACCACAGCAAGGGCATCTAGAGGACACAGGGAAAAAAGGGACCTGGTCACTACCACTGTGGCACAACAGTTCCCAACAAATAAGCCTGAGCCAGGGAGCGTGGCTGACTGCAGACGAGCAGAAACAGGATGCTAAGGCTCAGAGAGACGTGGCCCTGGAAAAGCAGACGGAGGACAACACATGTGCACCCAGGAGACACTGCCAGCCACATCTACCGGAGCAGGGATGTGGGGCTCATGCATTCTGAGCTGGGACCTGCTCACCTCCTGAGGTGAACAAGGCTGGGCTTCCCCTGGTATAAACCCTCTCGAGGGAGAGGGCACGGAAGAGCAGGATCTAGATAGAGGAACCAAGAACTATTTGAAATGAGCAGAGGTGGTGGCACAGACTGGTGAGTCCAGCACCCAGGAGGCTGAGACAGGAGGCTCTGCAGTTTGGGGACAGCCTGTCTCCGAAAACCAAAACTAAGTGCAGTTGAAATAAAACTAAAAAATGTAAGACAATTAGGGCTCAGTACCAGTGTTCATCTGATGCTAGCAAGTGTCATTTAGAGAGGAGAGCGACACCAAGTGGCAGCACAAGGCCTGAGACAGTGCCACCTCGAGAACCACGCTGCACAGCTGGATGGGATGCGCAGTTTCCTCCCTAGCCCCAGCCTGTGTGAAGTGCACTAGAACGTTCTGCACTTACACCTCTGGGACCGGAGAGAAAGGGGTGTTTGGCCTTCTGTCCTTCAGGGATGGGGTGCTCTCAGCCCCAGGTAGTGGAGTCTCCCCAGGGACATGTGGACACATGGGAAGGCACCTGTGGCGGTCACAGTGATCACCTGCTACAATCAGACCCAGGGAGGGAGGCTGAGCCCTTATATTTTAATTAACTATTTTATCTTATTTATTTTTTGAGACAGGATGTTGCCGTGCAGTGATGCTCCTGCCTCAGCCTCCATCTCTGAATGCTGAGATCACGGGTATGTGCCCAGCACAGCGGCAGTACAGGAAATCGGTGTTTCCCTTTGGCGAACCCTGGCCACTTCTCGGAACTTCTGTCAGGCTCTGTCCTCTGGGCACATTCGAGGCTTTCCTGACCTCCAGATTCCCAGGCCAGGGTAGAAGCCTTGGAGTAATGAGTGCACTGATCACAATGCTGCCGCTGCTTGGCCACCGGACCCTTGGAAATTCTTATTTATTTTTGCAGTGCTGAGACTGAACCCAGTGCCTGTGTACTAGCTACCCCTAGTCCCCAGCCCTTTTATTTTTTTAAATTTAAAAAATAATAGCAAGTGCACGGTTGTGAGTTTGATCACCAGCAGCAAAAAAAAAAAAAAGAGCGAGCAATGAGAACAATTTGGTAGATACAAAATGTATTCAAAAGCAGAGTGTGGGTGCTGACGGAAATGAAGCACCTATCTTTTACTATTTTGAGATTGGGTCTAAGTTGTTGAACTCCCCAGACTGGGTTCAGACTTGGGATCCTCCTGCTTCGGCCTTCCCAAGTGCTGAGATTCCCGATACGCACCACTGCGCCTGGTTCAATTGTGCTTTGAAAAGACGAAAGCTGGCCATCTGCAGAATATGAATCCATCACCGCTGCAGAACAACTGTGCACACGAGGAGAAATTTCCAGACCAGGCCACTGGGCCAGATCCTGTGATCTCTGCCTCCCAGCACTAATTCACTAGTTTACCAAAGTCTCCTTCAATCTGACTAAAAGAATCGTCTTTCAGAGTCTTCCTCAATGGTCCACACTGGTCTGGAACTTGGAGAAATCCTCCCGCCTTGGCCTCTTCAGTGCTGGGATTACAGCTATGCACCAGGTTTTTTTTTTTTTTTTTAAAAGTCTTTTTCATTTTTATCAGTACCGGGGATCGAACTCACGACCGCCTGCTTGCAAGGCAGGTGCTTATGCCGCTGAGCTAAACCCCCAGCCCCTTGCACCAGGTTTTTTAAAGCTTCATGTCCTACACATGTGTGAATACTGCATTGCTTCTCAGGTGTGAGAAACCAAAGTGTATATAAAAACTAAAATTTATAACGGGTATTGTGAAATAGAAAAATGTTCAAATGGGGAGGGGAACAAGAGAGAGAGGAGGGGGAAAGAAAAGAATGGACAAGTTAAAAACAGTGAGAACAGAAGGAAAACATGGCAACAGCTTTTGTCAACCGGGAAGGAAGGAGGGGCTCAAGGGGGGGGGGTGGGGAAATAGGGAAAGAAAACAAGTTAGATCATGTACTGTACAGATTCTCTATGATGAATGTGATCCCTGTGTATATCTAAAAATATAAGACATCAATAAAACCTGATTTTAAAACTATGAACATGTTTACCTACCAAAAAAAAAGGCTTCATGTCCTTTTATGAATAAAACAAAAGGGTGTATGTGTGTGGGGGTGGTACTGAGGACAAATCCAGACCTTTGCACCATGCTAAAATGTCAGCCCTTCCTGCCTCAGCCGCCTAGAGCACTGGAATTATAAATCTGTGTCCAGCTAAAAGCAGAGTCTTGTTCCTGGGTTTTGTGCCTGGTAGAGAGCTCTCCTTTCCCCGACCAAGGAAACAAACATTTCTGCACTACCTGTGATCGCGCAGTGTTTACCTTGAGTGTCTCTGTAATCTGCAGAGTCTTCTAAGAGATTCTTCAAATAATCTAGAAAATAAAAAAAAGCTCCAGTGTTAGCACCACAAAGCCCCAAGCTGCCAGACCTTTGACATCCCGGCTGGCACTTGAGTCAGTTCTGCGGACCTGGGCAACTTCTTCTTGATGGGAAGAGCAAAGCGCTGAGCCCAATGAGATGTCAGGCCAGAGGTCTGCAAAGAACTTCAAAGATATGGAAGTACTGACTGACCAAGGGACCTCATGCCAAATCTGCAACGTCTCTGTGCCAGAGCCAGGCCTGTGGCCCCAACACACAGGATGAACCCCATCCTTGAGAGCTCGCACCAAACTCCACGGCAAGAGGAGGCCAGGTACCCGAGTGTGAGACCCCAATCTCGAGGCCCAGGATCTGGAAAGGGCTCCACACATGGATCCAACCAGTGCTTTGCTTTGCTTTGCTTGTGCTCCCAAGGACTGAACCCAGGGCCTTTGCACTAAACTATATTCCCAGCCCTCTTCAATTTTTAATTTCTAAACAGGGTCTTGCTAAATTGCCTATGCTGGACTCCAACTTTTGGTCCTCCTGCTTCAGCCCCTAAAGCACTGGGATTATAGGTGGGTACCGCCACACCTGGCTCCGGAAAACCTGCCGGCCCCCAGGGGAACATACAGGATGTCTGGAGACATTTTCAGTCACAGCTAGGATGTGGAAGGGCGACCGGCATCTGGTGAGGCCAACAAGACAGAGAAGTATCTGGGCAAATGCCAGCGGAGCTGGGCTTGGGAAATCCTGGTGCACAGGAAGACGGAGCCAGGGTGCTGGGGCACACACCTATAATCCACACTCTGGGAGGCTAAGGCAGGGGGTTCACAAATTTAGTCCCATCTGGGAAATTTAGCAAGACCCTGACTCAAAAGTGGTATAGAGTGCTTCTTATAATATGAAAAACACTGAAACGAAAAGCATATTTGACGAATCTTTTGCTGGGAGCATACTTCTGTAAATCCAGCACTTGGAAGGCTGAGGCTAGAGAGTCGCCTGGAGTTCGAGGCCAGCCTGGGCTCCACAGCGAGTTCAAGGTCAATCTGAACTACATTAAGAGACCCTAAAAAAATCTTTAACACCAAGAAATGTCACAGGAGTTCAAAACAAACAATACTGTTTTCTCTGCAATTCCCAGCCCCTGCCACGGCCCCTGTAACTTTCTGGAGTTACTTTCTTGGTGCTGTCCGACCCAGGCCTTTTGTCCATAAGCAAAGTGTGTCCTCTCACACTTCCCATGCACTTCTGGCCCGTGCTGGGTCCCCAGTGCTGCCTTCTTTGTCCCCACATAGAGAACTTCGACTCACACTCCCTGTGCACATGTGCACACACGAGTGTGGTGCCAGGTTTGAACCCAGGGCACCTGGCATGGTAAGCACTTGGTCTACTACTGGGTCACATCCATAGTGCTTAATTCAGAGGTGACAATTATCTCAAATTCCTTCTGACAAAACTTCCCATGTTAAACAACTACTGTTACCTCTCCCTGCCCCATTTTTGGTTTTTGAGACTGAGCTATGTAGTTCAGGCTGGCCTCAAACTGGCTGTCATCCTCCTGCCTCAGCCTCCCACCTGTAATCCCAGTCTGAAAGAACTATTTTTCCCCTTTGCATGAGACTTGACATGGTGGTTGCTGTATGCTTCTATCATCTTTTTTATTACACTCAAAGCTACTCATAGGCATAGTAGCACCTACCAGCAATCCCAGTACTCTAGGAGGCTGAGGCAGGAAGATCTGAAAGTTTGAGCCCAGCCCAGGTCAATCAACAAGGCCTTGTCTCAAAATCAAACAATTTTCAAAGGGCTGGGGATGTCACCCATGGAAAAGGCCTTGCATTCGACCCCCTAGAACTCTTGGTCTCACACATGCTAAGCGTATACTTTATCACTAAGCTAGAGTGCACCCCCTCTGTGTAAAGGCAGGGTTGTGTCTCAGTTCAGGTGAAAGGCACAGAGGCTGGAAGCGATTCCAGTCCTGCAGGAGTCCGGAACAGGAGGAAGCAGGTCCACCCTGGGATGCGCCTTTGGTACCCTCAGCCTTCACTGAGCAGCACTGGCAAGGGGCACAGTGAGAAGCTGGCTGCAGTGGTGCACACCTGTCATGCCAACACTCAGGAGGCTGAAGCAGAAGGGTCACCAGCAGTTTGAGACCAGCCTGAGCTACATACGAGACCTGCCTCAAAAGCACCATCAACAAAGGACACAAGGGAAAACCTGGGTGTCACGAGTGATGACCACAGACACACGGCCGGCTGTGGGGATTCCCTGTGGCTGAGGCAGAAATCTTGAGGCTGAGTCTACACACTCCAGCTCCCAGCACCCCGAGCAGGCAGAGGCCATGTGGGGAAGCCAAGGCCACGCTCAGCTACCGCCATGGCACAGACTCCAGCAGCAGCAAGGAAAGAACTGAGCCATGGGCCCCCAGAGGTGGAGCACGCCTGGCCAAGCAGGTGTGAGAACCATGGAGCCTGCACTGCCTCCAACACATCCAACCTCACCCGGAGGCCAGCAGCAAACCTCCTCCACTTGGAAGGTACGCCACACACAAGGGGTAATCAGTGAACCCAAATATTTAACAATGCCATGAAAACCAGCAAGCAAAAAGAAAACGCAGAAAAGCCGGATGTGTCTAGCATGCACAGGCCCTGGGTTCAATCCCCCATGCCACAAAAACAAATAGACAAACATATGTAAAAGAGAAAAGCTGGGCGTGGTGATCCATATCCACAGTCCCAGCATACAGTAGGCGGAGGCAGGAGGATCAATGTGAGGGCTTATCAGCCTGAGCTAGTAAGTGTGGGACTAACCTGAATCTCAAAATCAGATCCTGACTCAAAAAGTGGCAAACAAAAAGATAAAACCCCACAGAAACCAGCAGTTAACAATTCTGTGGCTAAGAGTGATAGAGCTGAGATGCAGCCCCCGCCCCTTTTTTTTGTCTTTTTTGAGCAGGGTCTCACTATATGGTTCAGGCTGGCCTCAAAATGGTAGCAATCCTCCTGCCTCAGCTTCCTGAGGGCTGGGATTTACAGGTGTGCACCTGTTATGGGTTAAGAACTGGTGGTCAACTTAACACCAGCTGGATTGCATCAGCATTGTGTTGAGAATAGATGTTCCACCTGAGGAAAGTTGCCAGCATAAATAAAGATTGGAAAAGGAGAAGCTATTACATTGAGGCATTGTGGGTTCTCCTACGAGTTGCTGTCTGAAATGTTGGTTCTCCTGGAGAAGCTCTGGTCCTCACATTGAGCATTGCTTCCTGGCTCCAGAAGGGAAGACGTGTGCTGCTTGGTCTCCAGGATGAACTCGTCACGCTGGCCTCCTGGCATGTACTCGACTGTGCCTATCGTCAGAGGAGCTCGGACGGACCTCCATGTCACTGAGGATGGTTGTGGTACTTTTCAGGACAGCCCTGGTCTTTGTTATGAGCATGGCTTCTTGGCTCCAGCATAGAACCCTCATCCCACCAGCACAGCTCCTTCACCCCCTGGCATGAACTTTCTGGTTTCTACTGCTGACCTTTGAGCTTTCCTGGCACGCATCATAAGAGACTGGCATCAGTCCTTTTGTAGGCTCTGGACCTCCAGTTGGACTTGTGAGAGGCATTATCATGAGCTCTGGGTCTTCATCTGGACTCATGTGGGACACTGCTGTGGGATTTAGGCCCTTGACTAAACATTCTATGTCTTTGGTGTTGCGGATAGATTTCCTGCATTTTCTTGTGTTAACTCTGAGTGACCATCATAAACAATACTATAAACTCCATGTCCTGAATCTAATTGTTCTCTGCACAATCCCTGACTACAACAGCACCACTGCACCTGGGTCCCCCTTTTTATCGAATGTTCCCAGCCAAGTGTTTTGTGCACTGGTGGTGTGAAAGGAAAGCAGGCTTACTTAAAGGTCCTGTTCCTCAGGAGAACCTTCAGGGCTCCCAAAGTGGGAGCAGAGGTGTGCAAATCCCAACCTCAGCATTGGTGCAGAGGCTCAAAGCTTCTGGGTTTTGGCTCCCTGACGTGCGCTCATGTGCAGCCGCTGGCCTCCCACGCTGGCCTCAAGGCGATCCTCCTGCCTCAGCCTCCAAGTGCTGGGGTTATAGGAGTGCGTCACCACACCTGGTGTAGTTTTACCAGTGCGTGTTTGCAGGGCATGATTACATTCATCATGAGGAGTTGGCACATGGACAGAACACATCTCAATTCCTTTCACTTCCCCACGTCTCCCCATCTCAAATTCCCCTTGCCATTTGCAAAAGTTTATTTCCTGCTCTCCACCTGTTTTGCTCGGTATTTATCCTTTGGGCTTTTTTTCTTTTTCTGTGGTGCTGTGGATTGAACTCAAGGCTGTAGGCAAGGCAAGAATCAACCAGAGTGATGTCCCCAGCCCCTCTGGGCCTTTCATATAAAAAGAACCATGCAGTACCGAAGCCTGTGTGTCTGGTCTATTTCATTTAACATTATGGAAAGGCGCTTCCATTTTCCTACAAATGACACAAGCTTATCCCTCTTCATGGCTAAGTGGCACCCCGCTGTGTATAATCCACAATGGTCTTTATCCCTGATTCCAAGACTTAGCTACCAGGAGTCATGCTGCTCCTACTGGATAATTTTTAAAAATCTTCATGATCTCCAAAATTCACTTTTGCTTTGAGCACAGTGGTACACACCTGCAATCCCAGCACTCGGAACACTGTGAGTTTGAGGCTAACCTGAATTACACAGTTCAAGACCGTTCTAAACTACACAATGAGACCCTATCTCAAAAACCAGGAAAAAAATCAGTTTTGCTACCCATCCATCTATCCATCCATCCATCCATCCTTTTCAGCTGTACTGTATGGTATTTTTTGGTACCTGGGATCGAACTTACAACCTCGCACTTGCCAGGCAGGTGCTTATGCCGCTGACCTAAACCCCAGCTGCCTTTTCAGTACATTTTAATAACAGCTTTCCCTTTTCCAAAGAAGCCAGGTCCACAATCCCCTCCAGCAGCCAGGGAGCGGCCCTGA